TCAGATATGGGATGAAATCAGATAGGGATGAAATCGTTTAGGGATGAATAGGTTTAAGAGTTTTTAAGAGTTTAGCCAAATGCTTTATAAGATAGTATAGATTAAAGTAAATAAAACTGAAATCTATTAATTAAAATATTCTATTATTAATTTTTTTTTTAATATATGGTTTGTATTAATTAACATGGTATATTATTAGTGAATCACTGAATTGTTTTAAATATACTATGAAATGTTAAATTTTATGAATTTTTAAATATGTTTTTTTGTCGTTTTACATTTTCAACTAATTTATTAGCTATTTTTTATCAAACGTATTTAATTCATTAACTAACTCATAAACCATTTATCAGTTAGTTTTTATCAAATATATTTAATTTATTAATTATTTAATCAATTATTAACTAACTTATCAACCAATGATTTGTGAATATAAAATACATAGTACTTGAGGTGGTGGAATGGTGGAGTACTTTGAGGTGGTGGAATAGTGATTGGTAGGGTGGATAACTCATAACTAAATTTAATATTTTTTAAATATTTATTAATTTTTAAATGCATGAGATCCACTGATGATTTTGAAATACTTTAATGCATCCAGTCATCAACATACAAATTAATCTTTTATATATTCAATGTTAGATTTGATTTTTTTCTAAAAGCATCATAAAATCAAAATTAGTTAGGGATTATTTGTTTATTTTTTAATAGTTTTATTAAGAGACAACTTTTGAATCGTTAAGAGGCAAATCTTGTTTGGTAAAAAAAAATCTAATTTTGTTGTAAACAATTACCAAATAATTATATTTTATCAATATCATTAGAGCTTCTCAACCATTCTGTTTATTTAATCATTTTGCACCAAACTATTCAGCAACTGTCAAACAACCCCTAAAACTAAAACAAAAGGGTACAACAATATACAACGTTATTGTCTCTGATATGTGACTCAATTGATAAAGAAGCAAGGTGATTGTACCCAAATACAAAATAGGTCTCATGTTTGATCCTAAGCTTTTTCATCAGCCTTAGTCACCGAGTGAGCCAAAAAATATCATCATCACATTGATTTATTTGGAGACGGTTTTCGAATGAAGTCCGTAATAATACCAATAATCAACTTTTTACCCAAATATGCAAGACTATTTTTAGTTTTACAAAATACATCCTTGTTAATTATGTATGTGTAAACGAAACCAAACGCACTTTGTTTACTTTCAGTTACGGTCCATGTAATGTTTATCAAAAATTCAAGTTTCAAAACACTACTGATTCAATAATGTTACACGTAATTAAGTTCAATTGTATCGATATTTAAAGTGGTCGTTAACCCATTTGATTATATGAGTTAGGTTCTGAAGAGAATGAAAGTTATGCTGAGAATGATGAGAAATGATTTTCGTTCTTGAATCAACCTTAATTGAATATCAACATTAATGAGATGGACTTGATCAAATCTCGTATCAAATGAAATTTATAAGTGATAAAGGATCAGAATATCTTCTTATGCTTCTCACTTAACTTCTATTCAAACACGATCCTCCGTCTTGATTGTGTATTAAATATTTTTTATTGAATGGAGTAAATAACAACTTTTACTAAGAACTTTCAAAATAATAATGCTAACTTTTAATTTGGATAAGAAAATTAATTATTATATTTTATAAAAATTATATATATATATATATATTCATGATGAATAATATGTATCATATTGAGATATGAATACTAAAGAGTCATTGTATCACGTGAACATATGCGTATACATACGTATAGACATATGCATACATATAGAGATATATATATATATATATATACACATACATACATATAGACATTTGCATATATATATATATATATATACATACATACACAGAGGAGCGATCAAATGAAAACCACTCTCATTTGTAAAAACTACTCTCATCCGTCGTTAATCTTATGAAATTTTTTCATGAAATTGTTAATCTTGTGAAATTGTTTCATATAATACTTTTTTTGATGAAGTTGTTTCATATATGGTTATGAAATTGTTTCATATACTACTTGATGAAATTTTAATGAAATTGTTTTTTGTATTTCTCTAAAATTAAAATAATGAAAATGATAATATCCAAGATTAACATTCTCCACAATAAAAATAATTAATCAACCTCTCATAATTACAAAAAAATGAACAAAATGAAAAAGTATGATTGGTGAAATAAGGTTTTTACGATTTTTATAAATTGAGTGGTTTTCATTTGA